GATTTCCCCCTTCCCCACACTGCCGGGAGGCTTTCCCCTCTGCTCCCATTGGCCGGATGTGTGGCCAATGGGAGCAGCGGGAGGCGGTGCCTGGAATGCAATGCCTGAGGCTGGGGTACACTGCAGGGTTTTTCGGAAAAAGATACGCACATTGCAAACCTCAATTTGTGTAGCTTTGGCCACCTTTTCGGGGGGAAGAGGCTTTTCCAAAATTTGACTTGTCTGCACGGGGCCAAATTTCAGAAAACCCTCCTCTTTCGGAACATCCCTTATTTCGCTCACTGAGAGGAGCACAAGAATGCTGAAAGAACCCATCCGCTTTTCTGGAAACTATTTTGGACGCGGTGGAGTTTTTTCGGGATACCAGCGGTATCCCGGCAAAACTCTGTGGTCTAGACATTGCCTGAGAACGACGGGGGCACTCCCAGATCCCACACCCCCTCCCCACTCCTGCACCCTCCCTCCTGGTCAGACCCCCACATTTCCAGCCTGCTTCTGCATTTTCCTTCTTGCTCAAACACCCCACCCCCAGCCTGCTTCTGCACCCAGCAGGGCCAACAGCCACCATGGGCCCCGGGGCAAGGTGGGGGGGCCAGCTCCGCACCCCTGGAAGAGGTGGGGCTGAGGGCAGTCAGTCCTTAGCACCACCTGGACCATGGTGCTGGCACCCCCCGCACCCCAGCCTCAAAGCCATGCAGAGTGGCACTCTGTCACCCCGTGGCAGTTCAAAGGAGCTCTAAGTCCCTGTGAATGGCCAGGCCCTGGTGCAATTGCCCCCTCCCCCTGTCGGGCCTGCTTGTGTCCTACTTCCTGCCCAGCCCCTGCGCCACCAACCCCTCCTGCACCCATTTGGGCATCAGGGGTGGCTGGCCAGTGGTCTGTGGAAAGGTTTGCATGGAGCCGGGTGAGCCGTGGAGACCCCCTGCTCTAGAGCGTTGAATGGAGCCCGGTGCACCCTTTGTGCTACCGATATGTGATGTGTGTGCGGGTTTCCCGCTTGAGACCCATCCCTGGCATGTACTATGAGAGTGTTCAGCACGCCGCCGGCGGGAGCCGTGCAGTGAAGCCGATTGCACGGGAGACGGCCAACCCCAAGGGCTCACACGCTCGGCAGCAGGCCCCTCGAAACCATGAAACCGGCTAAACAATTGACAAGCGCTTACAAAAGATGAGTTTGCGTCTCTGTGGTCTGGTTTCTGAGCCACAAGGGGGGGCATTTTCTCCACAATCACAAAGGCAGAGACTTCATCTGGAGAGGCCGGCTGTGCCCTCCAGAGCTCCGGATCCCATCGCCAAGTGTTGTCGGTCTCTAAGGGGCTGCCAGGCTATTCGCTGTTTACGTTGTTACTATTTTAACGAAAGCCGAGAGCTATGTAACCACCTGACTCCAGGACCTGTAAAGAAAAATACCAAATATCGGGAATCTCAACAGAAGCCACCAAGCGCTGGCAGTACCGTTTGGCTGTGTGCAAGGGGCAGAGTTAAGGTTACTCATTCGCGCTTTGCTTCCCCCTTCCGAGCACGCATCCTTAATGCTGCGCTGGCAGCAGGGTTCCCATGCTGTACGCAGACGGTGGGGCCAGGTTTGCAGGCTCCGTGCTCCACTCAAGGCCAGAAGAGCTCAGCTCCCAAGGTGCACTCCCTGTGCTGAAAATCTGGCTCCCGCCACACGTGGTGTCATCATGCCAGGCTGCACACGCTGAGGGGACCGATTCCACGTGGCTCGTGCACCTCAGGGACCCCAGGTGCCAAGGAGAGGCAGCAGAGCCTGAGTCAGTGAAGAGAGGCGCTGGCCCAGGCCCAGCAGAGCTGCCGTGCTGCATGGGGGGTAATGCACGTCTCCCTGAGTGGCAGCCAGGGGGTCAGTGAATGCCCTGCCTTGCCGTTCTGGGCAGAGTGAGGGGCAAGGGCGGGGAGAAGGCACAAGCGA